ATGAAATAATATTTAAACGGAACGCAATTTACCCAAACATGCATTTCAATTCAATGCATAGTAAGCTGCTCATTTTTATAACAATGAATATTTTGATGCAAATTCTCGATAATATTAACTTATTACTGGTTTGACGTAATTATATATTTTAGTCATATATAACCAAAATCTGGATATCAAATTAGTTAAAAAATATCATTTTTACTACTTATTTTTGAAACTTAGCTTCCTGAAAAATATTGTACCTATAATCAGTTATTTTATCAATCTATAGTTGTAATGATATTTTTCAATCAGAATATGATTTATAATGAAAACAATGGAGAGTTATGGGGCATACTTTTATCAAGAGATAAGTATTAGTTTGATTAGTTTGATCTTTTCCTTCTTCTTCTCCTATTAAGACCGTAACTCACCTTCGCCGCCACCACCACTAGGATAATAACCACCTCCTCCTCCTCCGCAAGTAGGACAATGACCACCACCGGGATAATGTCCACCCCCGCTCGGATATCCACCCCCGCTCGGATATCCACCCCCGCTCGGGTACCCACCCCAGCCCCCTTGACCGCCACCACTTGGATAATGTCCACCCCCTTTCGAATACCCACCCCATCCTCCTCCTCCTCCACCGCATTTAAAACAAATGGTCCTCTTTTGACGGAATTTCTTCTCATTATCCGGCTTTGAAGCCGAGTCTATTATACTTTGCGCCTCCCCCTTTTCCAATTTCATCTTGAGCACTTTCGCCTTGCTGTCAATATCGATCTTGTCGACCTTGAAACCTTGGCCTTCCAATCCCTCCGCAAATTCGTCGAGGTCGACGGGTGAATGCTTTTCTCTCTCTTCTTCATCGTCTTCTACTATTAGGAGAACGGAGACTAGCGGTTCTGCAAGCATATATTTTTATTCAAATCCTTTCTAAGAATTGTTTTGATTCCGTTCGTCTTTGCTTATCATTCTTTGTAGATTTCTTATTTTGCAAGTGATCTATGATGAAATTCTCTCTCTCTCTCTCTCTTCCTCT